TTGCTAAATTGTCGTTCCATGAGAGCTTGGAAATCGTTGAATTTTTTGAACACTTAAGATTTTTGTTTGATCAGATAAATCCGTGTGAGCTTGCTAAATCATCAATACCATAATATTTCATTTGTCCAACAGACTCGTGCAAGGGCCCAAACATCGGAAAATATAAGCTCTAAAGGAGCACTTGATTCACTAATCGCTCGGATATGGCAATTGATGGCTCTTGCCTTTTTGACATGCATCATACATAGTGGTTTTATTCGACTCACTAGCACATGGAAAGATTATTGCAACTAACAACTTGCTTAACTATAGATGACGAGGATGACCTAGAAGGCAATGCCATCTCTTGAAAAAAGGTTTTATGGCATTGAACAAGCTTTTTCTTGAGTTCCTCTCGGGGTGGGTTGTGTGGCATGACGAGCTGCGGGGCCATCCCCTGATTCGCTTGAGGCTGGTTATTCCTGCACGACTCATATAAATGGCGGGGAGCTGGTTCGTAGGTGCTTGGCCTGTGGGGCTCTCTATTGCGGTTGCCTGACCTATGTCTCTGCTGGGAGGCCGTGCTGACCAAGTCACCGGACGTCCTGGCGTGGCTCTTGGATAGGGCATAATTATCTTGCATGACCACGGTTGTGTTGAGAGGCTCCATCCCTAGCTTAGATATCTCCTTGTCCGGATATCCGTTGGGGAACCTCACATTAATGAGGGCTCCTACCGCTGCCTGGATATTCTTTGCCGGCGTGCGATAGGACTTCGGGCTTGGATCTATGGCATTCTCGAGTGCTTGATCCATCCTTCTGCTTCGAAGAGCTAGGGCGGCTGTATCTGCCGTCGGCATGGTCTTTCGACTTCTCTGGCCAGATTGGAACTGCTCCTCAGACCTCTGCAACTCGGCTGTGCTCCTTTCCAAGCGTCTCTTTTCCTTTAACCTTGTTGAGGGTCGCCAAGATTTCACCCGGGTAGCCTCTTGGGCCTCGTTCTCCAAGATCGGCTCATCAATCGCTTCGATGTCATCATCATTGATTTCTTCCGCCTCACTGCTTTCCTCTTGGTTCGTATCCGACGTGCCTACCATGTAGCAGGCCTTGATTGAGGCCGCCTTCCATGGTCTGTGAAGTGCCGTAGTTGGCGGGCGGCTATTGGCTTAGTCACCCATCTCCTCATCGGGGTCGTCTAGCTTCTTGATGATGGCGGTGAGGTCTTCCACGTTAGCAATGAAGTGGGTGGTGGGTCGGTCAAAACATTCGGCCTGCTGCTCCTGGGCCTGGCATGACGCCAGGCCTTGGAGGACAAGCTCGCTGCGTGAGGCGGCAACTGGCGATCCCATCTGATTCTCTGAGTTCACTGCCCAGGACCTGTGTGGGCCACCACCGTCGGAAGCTATCTTGGCTAGTCGAATAGATCCGAGGGGAAACAAGAGACCAGTTTTACCCAGATTCAGGCCCTCATGATAGAGGTAATACCCTACTCCTGCTCGTGTTGTATTCCGATGGGTTGTACAGAGTACAAGGTACAATCGAAGGATTGATCTCAATGTAATCTAATGTGTCTATCAACTAGCTCGGGCCTTGCTTATATAGGACCTAGTCGGCTGCGTCGGTGGAGGGGAGTCCTCCATAGATCCGGCTTCCTTGTCTTGTACGGCAAGGCTTCCAGCATCCTCCTTCTACAGAGCCCATGGGCCGGCATGATGGCCCAGGGTGGAAACCGACCTAGGGATCCTCAGGCCGGCCTACTTGGGCCGACTACCAGCAAGGTGAGGCACCCTTGGCCGTAACACCATCACTGACCCTCCACCATGCATGGACATGCACATCTCAAAACTGGCGAGCTGGCCGTAGAGCTCGCTCACCGATACAGGGTCGACAAGCGAGCACATCGCCGAGATACCTGATCAAAGTCCTCGGCTAGGCCGCTGAGGATGTGGGAGACAATGTCCTCATCATCCAATTTCTTACCCGGGGCCTCCATCACATTAGAGGCCCCTGAGCTTGCCGATGTACTCAACTATGCTCGAGTTGCCCTTCTAGGTGTTTGCGAGTACCATCCGGATGTTCACCGTGCGTGTGCGGTTCTGTGACGCGAACTTGTCCTGGACCATGCCGCCGCCATGGTGTAGGAAATAACCTGCATGGAAATTTCCCTCGGTAGGGAGGTGAGCAGGAACGAGTACACCTGCTGACCAGCTACAACCCAAACCTCATATTCAGGGTTAATGTGTTTCCCTATTGTCTTCCTGTCCGTCGCGATCGCGTCGATCTCCTGATCCATCGAGGAACCCCTCCATGTGAGCGCCCCTCACATGGGAGAGGATTTGAGCTCACCAGATGAGGTCATTGCCCTTAGAGAGCTTCTTGGTGACACCATGGGCGCAGGGGAAACAGAGATGGTGGAGTTTGAGGAATAGCCTGGCCAAGGCTCGTTGCAGACCAATCCGGGAGATTCACAGGTATTCCGTTTATATAGGCACCCATTGTAGCAAAGGATAAACCCTATTCTCTAACTACCTATCAATTTATCTTTTACGTCTAGTTGTAGAAAAAGTTTACTGGCTAAATATCTGGGAGACTGTCTTGAAGAGGACTATTTAATAGAGATTATTCACGTGTGATGCACTCACTGGCGGAGGACTCCAACGGGCAAGGCGTGGCGGCCGCCATACCTTGAATCGCAGTAATTTTGTTTATACCTATCCATATGCATCTCTCGGCTAGCACGAGTTTTTAGTTCATGAGTCGCCGTGAGTTTTTCGTTGAGTTCGAGTCGATCCGTACAATTACGATCTAGTCTCTACAGGGTCGCATATCTACGTGTGGTTCTGGCTAGCCGTGCGTGCACTATTCAAAGGAAGATCAATCAAGCTGCCAAGTTGCTTGCTTCTTCTAGCTTTGCACCTACGCGTACGTATACAACTTCCGGTGGATTTGTTCTAGCGTTTTAAAAGCCAACACTCAACTTTGCATCCTTCATGGCCGGCAGAATGCAGTGCTGCGTAGCCGCGTCCCCAAAGTGCGGAGAGCGAATGGAAGGAGCTAACAAGTTAAAAGGGAAGGGATATATCTATACATTTTAGTAGCATTTTTTAATAGCTTGTAGGAGTAATATGCAATTGTAATGATTTTAGAACTTTAGAGACAATTTAGTGTTGTGGAGATCTGAAAAATATGCTTTGAAGTACTCGATAGTGGCAGTAGCTCCAAGGGTAGGGCCTTCATAAAATTGAGGAAGATTTTCAAAACAAGGGTTGGGCATTGTCATTGCATGAGTCTTCTACGCCATTGCGATACATTTAGATTCTTTTTCTATTTAAACATTTTCATTTTCCTTGGTTATTCTGTTGAGGATCACATGAAAATATTAATGTGCATTGTTAGTGTGTATTTACTATTACGATTTTGCATCAAGAAATTTACTGAAGAGTTCGCCCCACCTTAATTTTTTTTCGTCCTCCGCCTCTGGATGCACTGATGTCAACATGTGAACTTCGATATATTATAGGCATCTGATGTAGCAATTTACAAAGCAACTCAGGAAGCAGCTTAATCAGTTTTCCTTCAATTGATTCTTTTACTTGATTCATTGCAATATTGTCAACCACTATTTTGCTTCCGTTGCTAGCAGTTGATTTCTAAGCCACCTATAGCAAGAGGAATTTTCCTTTCATGTCCTCATTTTAGTTTGTCATGTAATGCGCAACTGATTTCTAAGCCACCTGTAGCAAGAGGAATTTTCCTTTCACGTCCTCAATTAGCTTGTCATGTGATGAAACTTAGGACTTTTGAGGTAATGCATGTTTTCTCACGCTACTTTTTTGAGAAAACGCAAATGGCTTTTGAGTTTCATTGCATTGGAAAGAAAGGGGAATTTACATCCTCCTAGGAGGTAGTTTTACACAGCCAAGAGGGCCTCAGTGGACATCCCAGGATGGTGGCAAAACGACCCTGAGCCCTTGGGCTCCGGCCTTTGCCCAACATCGGGTCTCACGCCACTTACAGAAGACTACAGTATTTACATATCTTCGCTTCGTATCTTCGTTGCATTATCTCATATTCTAGTTGTGTGCCTCGTTAAAATTATATATCTTGCTTCTGCTCTTGGAGGTGCCCATTGGTCATTGACCATGGGCCAGGGGCAGCCATCCATTGCAAAAGCAGCTTAAGAGATGACAGACAGTAATGTTATACCACTGCTATTGTCAGTTTTCACCTATACATCATACTTGTACCTGAATAAGGAGAGAATGTCAAAATTTATGTTCTGTTGCTCCTCGGTGTAGATTTAGATTGCCTGGTAGCTACAAACACATATTGGCCTTCTCTTAATTGGGCAAGCTATAGTAATTTAGTATTTCCAGCTTTCTCTTGCAAATGACCATGAATTTGTGATGGTGCTGAGCCAATTAGCAGTTTTGTAGTGTGTGTGAGCAAATGCCAACAAATAATAGCGTCCTAGGGCCATTTTCCCTTATCCGATTTTATAATCCAAATAAATAGGTAGGAGCAATAAATTTAACGGCATGATATGATTTTCAACTCTGGTGCGTATTTACACATTACCCAACCCTCAACTGATCTGATAAGCTATCCTACTCTTGTGTTAGGGGCACTTGGATGCAGAGCTGAATGAAATTGGGAGGCAGCAAGCTGTTGCGGTATTGTATGGCTTGCTTATATTACTACTCCCTCCGTTCGTATATATAAGTCTTTTTACAGATTCCACTACGGACTACATACGGATGTATAGACATATTTTAGAGTTTAGATTCACTCATTTTACTCCTTATGTAGTCTGTAGTGGAATCTCTAAAAAGACTTATATTTAGGAACAGAGGTAGTACAAGACATCTGGAGTAGCATTTTTTATGTGGAACTCGTGTGACTCTAATGCCCAGGTTGCTCATCGGCTGTCTAAAGAAGCCAAACCAGCTGCCATATACTCGTCAGATTTGAAGCGGGCGGCAGAGACTGCAAGAACAATAGCAAAAATCTGCAATTTACCAAATGTTTGTTCGTTCACCTTGACCCTTTCTGTTATTCAAATATCTCGAGTACACACCACATTGTTGCCACGTAATTTGTGCAGTCTCTGCATCTCCACACATCTTGACAAATTGCTTGATATAATATTAATGAGCAAACAATTTGCATTATAGGTTGTGTTTGATCCTGCACTTAGAGAAAGACACATAGGAGATGTGCAGGGCCTGACGCTTCAAGATGCTGTCAAAGAAAAGCCAGAGGCTTACAAAGCTTTTATGTCCCACAAGAGAAACCAGCAAATTCCTGTAAGCATTCACATTTTTCTACTTTTGAGAAAATGTTTTATCAGTTGATTTTATTTTTTTTGAGCTAAAAGTTGATATTAGTTCACTGACCAGTGGAGAATGCTGTACTTAGAAATATTGCAAATACATGGTTGGGTGTAACCGTAGTCTTAAAGATGTCACAAGTAGATATGCATTGACACTGCACCATTCAATGGCCTGCATGTAGTCAACATTTTGTAGGCTTGAACATGTTGAACATGGATTGATCTTCCAGTGGCAAGAACATTGTTCACTTAATATGACGTGCTCCTGAAATCCTAATGAATTGAGGTATTAGTGCAAGTCACTGTTTTTGGTACCCTGCCGTAGACTTGCAGCTGTTTCTGAGGGCAACTTAACAGACAAACAACTCTGCCATATCAAACTGTCATTTCTTATGAACTTACACACACAACAGGTTCATATAGGTTTGTAAATGAAAGACGGTTTTGTATTCTAGGTCGATTTTTATCATACAGGATGCTCAGACAGCTTTTCTCTAACCAGCCGTATGCTTGTATCAGCCGCATGCATTAGCTTGTCTCGAAAGATTTATTGTTCTGAATTTTTTGGGGCTTGTCCTTTCAGGGTGGTGGAGAGAGTCTTGATCAACTATCCGAGCGATGTGTCTCATGCCTGTATAAAATAGTCGAGAAACATAGAGGTAAACTCCGGGCTTCAGACTTTTTACTGCAAAAAGCAAAAACAAAACAAAACTAAACTTTGAGCTTCATTTTTTTTCGTTGACATATAACTGGTATTAAATCAGACTATTATTTTGTAAACTTGACAATCTGGATAAATTATATATTTCAATCTCGAAAAAGAAAACCCTGAGAGTTTGCTCACCACCTATCAAAAGGAATGCTATTCAAAGAAAGGGTGGGCTTATTGGCATCCTTTGGTTCTTGTGGGCTGTAGAGGAGATACTGTGTTGATGTTTAAAACTTCAAATAACCGTTAAAGAGAAATATTAAAGACAAAAAATACTCCTTCCGTTCCTAAATATAAGTTTTTTTAGAGATTCCACTATGAACTACATACGGAGCAAAATGAGTGCATCTACACTCTAAAATATGTCTATTACATCCGTATGTAGTTTGTAGTGGAATCTCTAAAAAGACTTGTATTTAGGAACGGAGGGAGTACCTGTTATGCATGAGATCTGCTTACTTGGCTATGACCTCCTGAGCATTTCTGATCTTGTTTTTCTCATTTACTTACAGGGGAGCGTGTTATCCTAGTCTCTCATGGTGGAACCATCAGAGAGCTCTACAGGCACGCCAGTCCCGTGCCGCTCCGCGGTAAAATATACAACACGTCGGTTACTGTCGTGCTCGTTTCTGGTGACACTGGCCGCTGCATTGTCAAGATGTGTGGAGATGTTAGCCACCTTGAGGCCACCGGTGTTCTGGAGAATGCCTTTGGCGGCGACAAGTCTTCAGCCTAAGAGCACCCTACCTGCAGCAGTTCGCGCATGTAGAGGATACAGACACAGTATCATTTTTGTCGTCATGTTTTTGCTGTAACACATACGAATGGGATATATGGAGCGGATGCTACTTGAAAACGAATACGGATCAGATGTTACGGATGCTACTTGAAAACGGATACGGATCAGATGTTACGGATGCTACTTGAAAACGTATACGGATCAGATGTTACTCAATTCGGAGCATATATGGATCTTAAGATTTAGTGATGTATTACGTGCAAAACTAAGTTAGCAAATGTGACACAAAGTTATCTACTCGTAAATAATCCCAAATGATAAGTGTTGTGTGTGGCACAAAGCAACATGGTTCAAACGTACTATTAATATCCATTTTGTCACATCAAATAGATGATATCAGTGAAATCTTTTTGGTTTTTCAGACTTAAAAAATGTTGTATCTGCTAAATAAAAAAAATGTGTTCATTATTAAATCTGTCTCGACGAGATCTTTAAAACTAGATCCTGTTTTGATATGCTTTGACAACTAATTTTTTTTTGCTCAAAAGTTGCCATGATGTTTACATTAAAGTTGTCATATTGTTAACACTAAAGTTGCCATGATATGCTTCATCTATTTTTTATTCTAGATTTTAAAGCTACCATTGTATTTCAACTATTTTTCAAGGCAAATTTAGTAATTGACCATGGTAATTTTTAGTAATTAACCATGGCAAACTTAATTCATGGATTATGGAAATCTTTAGTAATTCTTCATGGCAAATTTAGTTTATAGATTATGGCAATTTTAGTTTACAGATCATGTCAATTTTAGTATTTTGATCACAAAAAATATTTTAGTGCATGAATCATGCAAATTTAAGTAATTCACCATGGCAATTTTAGTGCATGGTTCATGGCAAATTTGGGTCATGGATCATGCATTTTTAAAGTAATTGACGGCAAATTTCTTTATAAACCATGTCAAAAAAAAATTATGGTCATGACAATTTTTAGTAATTCACCCTGATAAGTTTAGTTTCTTAATTCCTTTTTTTAACATGTCAAAATTTACTTTAAACGTACGAGAAAAAGTAGTTGAAAACATAGCATGACAACTTCAGTGTAAACACCATGACAATTTATGTGCGATAGACATGACAACTTTTAACACAAAAAAGGTCATTGACATATATCGATATGAGATCTAGTTTCGAATATCTCGTCACGACGAATGGTGAAAACGGTTTTTCAATTGAATTTTTTATTTAAGAGATAAAACATTCTAAAAACTAAAAAGATGCAAAAGATTTCCGCTGACATCATCAATTTTTCACTTCTGCATGCATGTGGTGACATGGCGCAATCTGTGACCATAGGGACGTTTGGGCCAAGCTACAAACCACCACTCACCAGTCACTTATCGCGGTCCTAAATTATACTCCCTCCGTTCGGTAATACTTGTCGGAGACATGGATGTATCTAGACATATTTTAGTTCTATATGCATCCATTTTTATACATTTCTCCGACAAGTATTTCGGGACGGACGAAGTAGATGAATAAATACTACCCCCCCTCCCCCCCCTCCCCCGTTAGAAAATAACAGTCTCTCAGACTCATTTAAACCCAAAGTGGGTAGGTTTTGCTACAAAGGAACCTAACCAACAATTTGCATAATAATTTCCAAGTGTAATCATACAAATACAAAAGTGTAATTTGACCACTTTTTAGGCTTTTTATGTTGTATAATTGAGATTTGGGGCTATAACCATTTAATTAGTAGGCATATTTTTTCTCAAAATATGAATATATATCCACTTTCACATCTACATTTTTTTAATTGTCTATCATATTTGTATTTATAAGATAAATTCAGATATTTTTCACATCAAGTTATATATTTTTCAGATAATGATGTCAACTTGCTATACCAGTATTTTCCCGAATCAAACATTGGGTATTCCAAATTATCCGGTGCTACTTCCACGCCTACAACATTTTTTTTATGATTTGATCATTTGAAGATTGTTTTTAGGGACATTTGAAGATTGTTAATTCACGGGTCACATGATATATGCGGTCAGTTTTTTTTATGAGGGAATGTCATCACAGCGGATTAGATTGATTTGGGGAAAAAGATACATCGTCAGCCAGTACATCAACTAAGAACTCAGGTGGGTCTGCCGTCCACACAATCGTTTGAGCATCAACCACCATACTAGCTATCACATGAGCTGCCAAATTTGCTTCTTTAGGACAATGAGCAAAAGCAACCGAAGTAAAATCGAACATAAAAAAGTACACTCTTCATAAGTCGCCGCGGCAGGTCCGATAGAGTTTCCCCTTTGTTGCATAGTCTCTACCACTTCCATGCATTCCTGACCCAACAAGTAGTTCAGAGCATCACATTTGGCCAGCAAGAATCAATCCATTTAGGAGAGCTCTAGCTTCAGCTCCAGCTAGATCATCCACAAAAGGAACCCCCGAGGCGCTAGCTGCAATGAACCTAACCATTTCATCCCCAATGATTAGCAAAATACAAATCTATACCTCATAATAAATGGGCTATTGCTTCTGGCAGTACGTCATGGAAATTGTTTTCAAAATTATAAAATATTACCCACCAACACTACTATAGGTGATAAAAAATGTTTCACACATGGGAATCCCTCGCCTTGGGCGGCCCATGCAGTAGGGACCTCCTATATTACGCTCTGTGCGTTGGGAAAAGACCCAGCACCTGTTTGGGCTGTCCATGTCCGTGCGGCCTGTTTTCAAGTTTTTATTTATTCCTTTTCTTTTTTATTTTTCTACTTTAAATAATTTGGGACTTAAAAAAAGTTCCATTTTTTTTCAAAAATAGAATTTGGAGATAAAATGTTTAGAAAATCATAAAATGTTGTGGATTAAAAAAATATTTGCAATTTTGTAAAAAAATGTGTTACTTATTCAAAAAATCTTCAAAATTTTGAAAAAAAATCGAAAAAAAAGAATATTCATGATTTTTTTAAAAATGTATGTGTATTATAAAACGTTAACGAAATTGAGCAAAACTTTGCCAATTCAAAAAATGTTCATGAACGGAAAAATATCCTAAAAATTTAAAAACTGTTTGTGACTTACAAAATAGTTTATTCATTCATGAAATGTTTGCTGATTCAAAAATGATCCTGCATTTAGAAAATGCTCATTAAATAAAAAAATCGTGAATTTCAAAAAAGTTCCACCTGTTTCCAAAAAAATATTTTCATTCTAGAAATGTTAGCCAATTCAAGAAAATTGTTTTAACTTTTTTGAAGTTTGCAAATACTATAGAATATTCATCAATTCAAAAAATGTTCTTGCTTTTAGGAAAAAAATGAGAATTTGTAAAAGTGTTCATGAATTTAATAAATGTTCACAATTCCAAATATGTGCACGAGTTTAAAACAATGTTCACGATTTCAAAAAGTGTTCATGATTTCATGAAATTGAGAGTGATAATGTATCTCGGTGATGCAACAAAATGTGATCATTATGATTCTTTTTTTTCTCTCTCGTTGCAATACACGGACCCTTTTGCTAGTAATTTGAAAACAGTTTGTTTATACCCCGCAAAAAAAAACAGTTTGTTTATGCTCCCAGTACAAAGCATGGGCAATTATCCGGTAACTTAAAAAAAAAAACTGTTTCTAGCACCGGTCGGACTCTTTCTCCTGTCAGAAACCGTACCCATCACGAAATCCACCCGGCCGCCCCTCGACCGCTATAAATAAAAGCCGCACGCCCGCCTTGGATCCTCTCCTCACAGCGCCCGCCGCCATCGCCTGCAGCCTCCTGCTCGAGTTCCCCCAGCCGGCGCCGAAGCCCTAGGTAAGTAACCTCGTTCTGTATTTCCTTTTTTGTTTTGTTATTAAATCTAGCGATTGTTGCTGTGGACTGGGCATGAGCTAGGGTTTCGTTGGGTGTCCTCGTATATATAGAGAGAAAAAAAATCTTAGTATCGTCGACTACTGTGTCTGTTGAGCTGGACCTGATCCGGCGTAGGTATTATTTGTTTTTCATGAGGAACAATTTGATCTCCACGGTTGTAGCCCTGGAAGCGATTCAGCGTTCGTAGCGTATATTTGATTCTGTGCTGCTAGTTTTGGTTTATTGCTTGAGATCATAGATTAAATAAATATTGTTCAGTCCACGCATAGATCATATCTAGTACTAGTAGCAGACTAGACCTATCTGGTCATTTAGGGACCTAGAGCAGAAGTGAAAGGTGCAGTTTTGTTCAGTCCAATAGGCTATATTCACTTTTGATGAACATGCGGCCGTTCTGTGTTGGATTTGCTTCTGCGTCGCGTCTCTAGTTTGCACGGAACCATGCCCATTGTTAATTTCTAGGCACTATCTGATTTTGTTTATACAGTCCACACATGTTCTCTTTGGAATGTTGATTGCCATATGGATTGATATTGTAATCCTCTGTTCCCTTTCTGGCATGATGATACACCTCCTGCTGATTTTTTTGTCAATCTTGCCTTGTATGAAGAATCGCTAATGCATGATCTTTGGCTTGTTTAAATCCAGGTTGCAGAATTTCTTTGCTACAATCTGACAAAGTGGAGGGCTCGGAAGTCCAAGTTTCTTTCATGTCTGGACAGCACTCGCTCTACTTCGGATCAGTTGGATTGCCGGGAGAGTGTTCTAGTACATCGAGAAAAAGGGATAAGTTTCTCTTCCCTCACTTGCCACTGCTCAAGGTCAGCTCAAAGGCGGCTCTTGCTTCTGAATTTGGACACGGCTGATAGGATCAGAAAGCTTGAGCCAAGATGGCGCTGCAGAACATTGGCGCTTCGAACAAGGATGACGCCTTCTACAGGTACAAGATGCCCAAAATGCTAACCAAGATAGAAGGCCATGGTAATGGCATCAAGACAAACATCGTGAACATGGTTGACATAGCGAAAGCACTTGCCAGGCCAGCTTCCTACACAACAAAGTACTTTAGCTGCAAGCTTGGGGCGCAGTATAAATTTGATGACA